TTTTCGAAAGTACAGGTCATTTGGATCAGACGTTTTTTGTCCAGACGTTTGTCCACAAATATATCAATGTTTTGATCAAATAAAGTTGATATTCCAGTCAAAAAACTACATTTTGTATAAATATACAGTCCTGAGATTTGACTTCCTGTTTCATCGCATCTTTGTTTGCAATAATGTCCATGTCACTGTATATAAAGACGAACACTCATGAACTTAACAATATTCACTTGTAGCGTTACCAGGTTAGCAAGAATAGAAGCAAATACAATAGAAACACCAGTTACATCACTCCCTAATATCGTAAACATGTATTCTAATTTGTTGGTCAGGTGATAGTGATAATCCTTCATTTGATTCTGAAATGGGCAGTTTTGCTGTTTTACAGGCAAATAACTTACTGGTAGTTTTTGAGGTGTTACTCAGTCATTATTACACACAAAAATATCAATTTGTTGTTTGTGCAAGTAAATTTCAGCTTAGAATCATTACATTGCAGAGATTGCGTTAACCCCATATTTTGCTTCCCCGACTCCAATTATTGAAGAGGGACCCAGTTTTTCAGGCAAGCTGGGGTCCAATCTCTAATAAAGTTATCCAGGGTCAAATTTCAATTTCTTAAACTTTTGTAAGTGGGACTCGTCTTGCCGAGACACTAGCGCAAACCCTGCATTGTTTACAGTTGAATGCTATACTGTAAAATACTTTATTTTGGCTTTTTGGGTGTTACCGGTATTTATTTGTATGTATGGTATTTATTTTCACTGATTTTGACGAGTTGAATGTGAAATATAGGAAAAAGGTATATTTGCTGGATTTTATTTTTACTGAATCACCCCTTCAGCAAAAATAATAAAATATTTTTTTTGTTGAAAGCATGAAATTCAGCATTTACTATATTTGAATTTCACCGTATTTGCCTGATTAAATTCATTAAGTTTATTTATTTATTTATTTTCAATTTAGTTATGGCTGCATTGTCCATATCAAATATTGTGAAAAGTTCATTAGGACCTGTGGGGCTTGACAAAATGCTTGTGGATGATGTTGGGGTAAGTACAATCTGAACTCTATTTCTTCTCTTATTTACTTTAGCTAGTTCAACATTGATTGCTGGTCTGTTAACTTATCTTTTGACTCGTTAAATGGTTTAGAAAAATACCTCCAGTTTTTTCTTCAAACAGTCAGACACCTTCGTTTTATGTCACTGTTTACTTTAAGTTGCAAAAACATTTGTTAGTGAATGCAACAATTCCATATGTAGACTGTTAGAATATGGTGCTATGCCATTAATAATCAGAACATATTTTAATGGACATGCATGTAACTTGCGTAGAATTACAGCAAGTCTCAGAAGTATTGGGGCAGCCAATTTGCAAACTTGCTAGCGAATTGTCTGCTTTAGTTTTGACTTAACAGCTGGCTTTCGAATCTTGCTGGTGCCGTCCTGTGGTCACGTCCACTCTGGGTGAATCTATATAACAGTAGGGGACGGTCGTCATACTTTAGATGGATGGCGATTTCGCTTTCAAATATACGAGAGAAAGTGTTCTATTTTCTTTGTGTAATGAGGTGTTCGTATACAAGGGATTATCCACGCAAAAACAATGAATGAAGCCAAATTTTATTAGCAGTTGGTTTAATGTTACCCCAACGAATCGTTTGGATGTGAAAATTTACTTTCTCCCTGATTTATAGAAAACTGTTTCTCAACATGCCTCTTTATTTAGTTTCAGTGTTCAAGATGGCTACCCCTATATACATGTAGTAAATATCAGTGGATTAATCACATTTATCATATTATCACTTGTACGCCAGCTGACTGTGGCCATTCTCAGGCTGATCAGGGAAATTACTTTCACATTATCACTCCTCGCAAAGCAAATTATTCAGGGGAATCCAGACATGTAAAAGCATACTATGTTCCCTAATGCAATATAGACTTGCCCAGAGTGGATGCGACCACGAGTCGGCACCAGCAAGATTCTAAAGCCAACTGTTTAGTCAAAACCCAAGCAGTTAGCCAATTCGCTAACAAGTTTGCAAATTGGCTGCCCCAATACTTCTGAGACTTTCTGTAATTGTTCCATTAGTTTGGTTGGTTTCTAATTGATTACATCACTTCAGTTTTCGGGGATGTGTAGTCCAGATCAAAAATGGCTGGTAATGGTGTGATCACACCTAAGAACATTTAGTAAAATCCCAATTAGTTGTGCAAAGTACCATGCAACTTACACACTGCATGTAAAATGTATTGTTTGTTTTCACAAAATTTAAAAATTGGAATTGAATGGATCAGTGATTATTTTCAAATCAAGTTGGAAATTTTTTTAGCGAGATTGTTTATTATTAAAATCTTTCTTTCGGTGTTTTTTTACCAGGATGTGACTGTGACCAATGATGGTGCTACTATTTTGAAGTTGTTAGAAGTCGAACATCCAGCTGCCAAAATATTATGCGAGTTGGCGGATTTGCAGGATCAGGAAGTTGGTGATGGAACTACCTCAGTTGTAAGTTGTATTTGTTGACGTAAACATTTCATCTGTCTTCCAACAAGTCAAAGTTACATTTAGGAAGTATCAGTTTCCTACAAACACCAGAGCTCGGTTTGATTTAGCATATAATGCTTCAATTTATGTTGCGTATTATTTTATCTATTCGATGAGACTTGTTAGAAAGAAGTATGCCTCAAAATTCATGGAGGCTATTGTTATGCCTCATCTGAATGCCCTCTGTCTTTCAGCACTTACAATTTCAATCAGATAGTCATTTTTACAAAAATAAAATATTTTCCCACGATAGGAAATGGCCACTTCAGATTCACCTTGATGTTTATCTGTGAAAAAATGGCTGTACAGTACTCATTTTACCCAACATCTTGCTCGCTTCTGCTTTTCAATTG